GCTCGATTATGTTCTAAACACCATTGTCAAACTTCTAGGCGTACAGGAAAGCGGCGGAAACGTCCGACATACAGGTTTTGGCGTTTAAAACTTCGGCCGCAACCTCGCTATTTCCATCTAAAACTTGATAAAAGAACACTTATTTATACAAGGCAAATAGAAATAGTTATTTATTAGTATTATTTTAACAAAAAATATAAAAGGGTTTTTAAAAAAAAAATAGTTTACTATGAAAACATTACAGTACAAACGCAACTTTACTTTTTCCCCCCACACTTATATTGTTAAACAATTTTCACGATGAGATGTGTGGAAATTCTTATGTACCATTTCCTCTTTCAGACCTATACAAAACTTATTGTTTCCTCGTACTATATTAAATACATATGACAAATTTAAAAAATCATCCTTTCTTGAAATTTTTATGAATAATATCTGTAAAAAAGTATTAATTTTCTGTTATTTATTATCTTTGCGCGTATATTTAAATTTAAAGAAAAATAATCACACTATTAAAATTATCTATTGTGTACGATTGGGTTGGGAGGTGTATAAAGATCGAGTGTGAAGTTAAATTCGGTGGGTTGACGTCATTCGGCTGACCAATCAGGACCCTTATTCTCGAGTTTTTCGTGTTACAACTGCCAACGTGTTGAACGTGTCACGTGGGATTCGTTCTCACACTCATGCGAGATCGCTACACGAAAGTGAAAATGGCTGACGGATACGCTATTTTGATCGCAATCGAAGCGTTAGAAGGAGCCGAAAGAGTTGTTTGAGGCAATGAATTTTTCGACCACGAGTAGATGCCATTTCTTATCTTGTCGACTCAACACTAATAAAAAAATCTTAATTCATAATTTATAAAATTATACATGAATTTTTTTCCAAAAATAAAAAAAGTATTTAATTCATCAAAAAAAAAATTAAAATGATAGTAAATTATATGTATAAATTATTAAAAGCGTAGACACTATATTAAGATTATTTATTAACAGAAGTGTTAAGTTGTAATTAATAAATAATCTTAATCGACAATTTAAGAAATAGATCGAGGAAGAAAACTGTACGAAGAAAGGATTAAATTAAAATACTTTTTCCATTACACAACGGATTTTTTAGCTCCAACACACGCAATTAATTATTCGACTAATTCTCTCCACAAATCGAATTGTCCTTTTCTTGTAAATTTCCTTGTCGAATTTTCCACTGTTCATTTTCTTATTATTTTCCACATATGTTATTGATATTTCTTTTTGTTCTTTTCGCTCATTTTTTAAAATAAAACATTGAGGATTTCCATTTTGTTTCTGCCTACTATATTCCTATTTGCGTTTTTCATGAAGTATAGAAGGCGCTTCATTTTTACAAAATGGCTACCTTAACTGGAACGCCTGTAACTAGTAATGTAAAATTAATCATATATTACAGTCCGATATAATGATATATACGCTGCTCGTAGCTATTTATCGAGAAATTTTATAGAAGGAGAGCAATTATGGCTAGCGGGACGCGTCATTACGCGGTATGAAAACAAATAAGCCAGCTCGTTCTACGCATATTTGCACCCTTTGTGTTAAAAAACATCTTTAGCATCTGTCCTATCGGGGTCGAATTTACAAGTAAAAAGCTATGTAAGTTGCCGCTTAGGGTCTCGACTTTCGAGGGGCCTCAAACATTTGTACAAAAAAGAAAATTGAAGTTAAATTTTGTAATAAACATTTTTTTACAAACCAACAAAATATACTTTACTTTTTATTTTGTGTAGTATTTGTTTTTCTAAGAATTAACATAGATTTTTTTTAAAAAATCGATAAAACCGTATTAAATCGGATACATAGTCTGATTTAATTTTTTTCTTTTTACGATCGACTCATAAAATTGCGAAGGGTCGGTAAGGGGCCTCGCATAGTTCGGCTTAGGGCTTGGAAGTGCTTAAATCCCACCCTGTGTCCCATACAAAATTGCTGGCATTTTAAACTTTAAGAAAATATCTTTTAAAATTGACAGCGTAAATTGTTCGCGTAGAGCTGGACAGTCGGGAAATTGCCAATTATTAACACTCTAATCCACTCTTTCGCAATTCGGAGAAGCTCGTCGGATGGCGGAAATTCTCTCGCCATTTACGTTTATTTTGATTATTTTATTAATTATATTTGTTACTAAATTATTATTATTAATATTAAAATTATTTTACTAACGTGTTTTCCCGAAAATAAGACTGTCTTATGTTAATTTTTGCTCTGAAAAATGCGCTAGGTCTTATTTTCAGGGAATGTCTTATTTTTTCCAGGAAGAAGAATTCACATTTATTATTGAACAAAAAAATTCCCAAGTCGAACTTAGACGAGAGTGACGTATATCCGGTGTGTCGAACTGTCGCCTTTTTATAGCGTTAACATCGGACTCGCTGACCAATTTGTGCTTACTGAACCGTAGCACTATGCAAATGTCGTGTGGTTTATTAACCTTCTTGGCCCCCAAAATGTTTGATAAAAAAAATATGGCCCGCGGACTATGATAAGTTGGACAGCGCTGATTTATAGGGTATCATACAAGCCATTTATATTTATGAAATTTCTTTTCACCTTAATTATTACATTATTTAATTATTTACTTGTTTTCTTCCTCTTATACACATAATTTTTAAATGGAAAATAAATGTTTTACTATCTTTCATTGCTTCTTCTTCAATCTCTGTAATTAATAAATTGTTCAACTTATGCCCATTGAAGAAATTAAATTGAAGAATGATTAAATTTTATGTAAATAAAGGAGAAAACAAGCAAGTAAAGGTTTTACATTAAACACGAATGCTGTTAAATCATTTATAACCTCTTGAATTCGGAAGATAAAAGACTTTGTTGTTCAATCAATGAGGTGCATCATTATATGAGGATCCTACAGCAAAAAATTGGACTTAATTGTAGTTTAAAATATCTGCACAGTCTTATGCTTAAGATAAAATTAAGTAATATAGTTCTCTTACCTTATTATTGAGGAAATCTAGAAAAATGTCTTGTAGGTCGATTATAATATCTTGGAGAGGGATTACATCTTGAATAAGGATTATTACATCTTGAATTTGGATTATTATATCTTGAGAAAGGATCATTATATCTTGAAAATGGATTATTATATCTTGAATATGGATTATTATATCTTGAAAATGGATTATTATATCTTGAATATGGATTATTATATCTTGAATATGGATTATTATATCTTGAAGGCATATAAAATTTTGGACGATTAGAGGGACGTGACATAATTCTTGCTAAGAATGGATTACGTCCTGAAACGTTTGTTTATAGAGAATATATTAGTATATATGTTCAAGTTACCACTACCTACTAAGTGCATAAACTGTAACTTACCTATCATCATCGGTCTAGGTCTCTTAATGTATCCAAATGTATTTCTTACAGGTTGAAATGAAATATGACGTTTCTTCACATTTATTTCCGAGTCGCTTTGTTCTTTCATATCATCGTCACCATATTTTTCATCAACAACACTACCATCATCAGCCCAACAGAGAGTACAACAGAGAACTATTATTAAAGTTATCAAGAACTTCATATTGTTTCTGTTAGGACAATGGTCTGTCGCCATTCCTTTTATACCTTTCTTATTTGTTAAAATACGTAAATAAATCATTCTATATTAAAAATTTAATACGTTTAGCAATCACTATTGGGTAATCATTTGTATAGTCACACATTAAAATAATACAAGACTTGGAATAAATTAATTTTTATTAGTCAAATTGTTAAAATGAAGGTTTGTTCGTGACTAAAGATGTAATTTTAATTTTCTGCATAATTTAAATTAATTTTCTCCTTGTATATAATTTACTTAAGCTATTATTTTTCATTGTTTTCTTGAAAATAGCTACCGAATATATTAAGTTTCGAGTCATTTGACGAATTGTTGCTTTTATAATATTATTAAATTTTAGCTTTTAAAGATAAAAATAGAAGAAAAATAAAGAAATTAAAATATGCAAATGATACGATATTTGATAACTTACTTTATTTTTTAATATTTACAAGTATTTGCTGCTGCTTGTTTTCATTATTACTTTTTTATGCAGCAGTTAATAAGCTCAGTAGTAACCGAGTGGAAAAAAACCACTTAGCATGGGGCTGTTGTGATAAGTTCTTTTAAGACAGGTTTCAAAGAGTAAAAATCTCTTTAATTAACTTTCCTATATTTTAAATATATTGTTCTCTTCATTATTGTGTTAATGTTTCTTAATAAAGGGTAAGACGTTGTACACCTGTAAGCAAATTAACTATAATACAGAAGAAGTGCAAGAAACATTCATCAGAATGCTTATAAGAACAATAATTAAATACTAAATAAAAATGACAACTTAAATGCCATACAAAGAAATCTCTGGTATGCCGGGAGAACAAGAGATTCGATGTTTTAAACGTTTATTATATTCTATAATTAATACATAAGTCAATTTTATAAGTAACGAAATAATATATAGAATAAAAACATAAATAACCCAATTACAAATCTCGCTATAGAAAGTCAATTTAGGGAAAAGAGTGAAACTGGAAGCACTTTTGCTCCTAGATGCCCGGGAATTTCTTGATTGTCCGGATTCCATCCCGGATTTACTAGTATAATTATAAAAATGTACATCTTGTTCGGAAAAAGTACGAAATATTTTGGTCGAATACGTTTATTTACAATAGAAAATTGAGTTTTGAATTGTTGAAGTGTGTCAGATTTAGTCTTTATCCCATAACAATTATCTGCATGAAGATAAATAGCAAGGTTGCGTGTGGAAGTATAATGTATAAAAGAAACCACCGAGTTATTTCTTATTATGAGATTTGCACAAATGTGTATATTGCAGAACATAGTTCATATCAATATATATATATAAAGGTTTTAAAATTACATTTTCACAGCTGGAATGACACAAGTATCGAATGAAGAATATTCATGCATTGTCTATACGAAACATTCTTAAATATTGAAATTTTTATCAATAATATTGCTAAAATAATTTATTGGAGAGGTTATGTTCTATTTAAAGTTGAATAATATTAGAAATAACTCGGTCGATTTCATCTGTGTATTACATGAAAGAGGGTTTCAGCTTTTTCGACTTAGTTTGAATAAACAAATGAGGGTACTGACATCATTTGGGTATCAAATTAAAGTTCTTACCCTGTTGATCACGCCTCTGAAGAAAGATTTGTGAAAGGTTCAATGGTTTGGGAGTGGCCGAATGGCAAAGGTACAATGTTAAGTCTATGGGACATACATGTTGGGGTCTTAACCTACTGTTAACTTTAGCCCGAGCAATGTTTTTTGTTATGCAGTTTCGTTATTGTAAATAGTGAAGTCAATAAATACACATTTTAGTAACTAAAATCATTGTTTCTATTACCCTTTTTCAACTCATCAATCTTCAATCCCCCTGAAAAGTCCGAAAAACACTAAACACACGCGGTTAGTATAAAACTATTCGCATCACATTTAATATTAGTATTAACGGCAGAAACCATAATGTGATAATTCGTCCAGCTCTACAATAGGGCTACTGGATGGTGATAGATGGACTCAATATAAACGGTACAGACCACCCCAAAAAATTCCGGGAGTTTATCATCATCTGGATCCTGCAGAACAGTAAGCCTTGACAATTCAGTCGTTTACATACAATAAACACGCATCAATTCGTAATAGACACAGAAAATAGATAGAAAAAAAATTTACGATCGTTTGCACATACAGTAATAATTTTGGCTCTTTCATATTGTGGAGTTGCTTGAAGTTTATAGAAAACTGTATTGTGTTATTCAAGAACAAGGTTTTATAAAGAATTAAAGGTGGGTCTACACGATCAAATTTCTTGCATCACAATTGAATTCGAGGCAATTTAAAAGCTATATCTTGTCTAAATGATTATACAGTACTTTTAAGAATCAATAAATCATTATTTGACAAACCTGTCTACATTGTACAATAGACACTTGCAAATGTCAACTTTGGCTTCTCTCCAAATTTTATAACATAAATATGGCGTAACAACTTATGAAAAACACCATCACTTGGATTGATACATTGCTAATATCGATATTCTATATTTTGGTTGATCGATTAAACGCGGAGTTAGTACTCATGGGTATTTGTATCGCACTTATTCAGATACAGGCCTAGAAGAAACTTAATATATCGTACAAAATTTCCATCATTTAATTCCAATTGATCTCCATTTAAAAGCGACAAATTTTATCAATATTATGCTTAATTTTCAATTTTCATTTTTTCGTACTTGTGCCCTAATAGGTTTGTTTCGATAAGTTATGTCAATACGCGATTTGTCGGGCGGGACTACAAGAAACTGGCTTCTCCTTAGGTGTTAAACACGGGAATAAAATCGAGACAGCGCCACGCGGCTAGCCCTTTGGTGAGGTAAGAACCCGCGACCGATGTTCAGTTGTTTTATCCATTCGGCCTCTTCTCTTCAAATTATAGATTTTGATTCTATTTAGTAAGGAAATGTTTACGTTTGGGTCAGTATTGAAGACACGAAAATGTATATGACGCGGTGTGTTTAAATGTATTGTATGATACGATAAATAATAAATTATCCTACCAGTGGCTGAGTGAATAAAAACACAGCCAGACACCATTGGGTTTTCTCTTGACCAACCCACGACCAATCACGTGGGTCCAGTTTTCCATAAAAAGTTGTCAGAAAGCAACCCTCTCGTCAGATCGCCCATGTGTCGCGTTGGCGTGTTCAAAGGAACAATATAATACATCAATTTAAACAAGAAAAATATGTATTTTCTTAGAATACGATATTTTTATTATTCCGAAAACGATAATTGTGATATACAAACTATAATTGTTTACAGTCCATTAATTAAAAAGTCCTTCAAGCAGTCGCGACATTAAATTCATACTGTCATAAACGGAAAGTAAAATTTCCACTAAGATGTCTCTATTTTGCTTGACTTCGTTCGTGTCCTCNAGACACCGTTATTTTCTAGGAATAATCACATTCACGAATTCCCAAATAGGCTAGTCAATCAACCAACCACTCTATTTCCATTTAAACTAGATTTGGAAATTATAATATTTACTTTTTCAGTAGACATTCTTATTTCATAAAAGCTAAACAAAGCACAAACCCAATGCATTTTCGGAAGATTTTCCTCGTCTGAATTTATTTTATTTATTCTTCTAATTTAATTTCTATTCAATATGTAACCGATTCAGACACCGTTATTTTCTAGGAATAATCACATTCACGAATTCCCAAATAGGCTAGTCAATCAACCACTCACTCTATTTCCATTTAAACTAGATTTGGAAATTATAATATTTACTTTTTCAGTAGACATTCTTATTTCATAAAAGCTAAACAAAGCACAAACACANTTGGTGAGGTAAGAACCCGCGACCGATGTTCAGTTGTTTTATCCATTCGGCCTCTTCTCTTCAAATTATAGATTTTGATTCTATTTAGTAAGGAAATGTTTACGTTTGGGTCAGTATTGAAGACACGAAAATGTATATGACGCGGTGTGTTTAAATGTATTGTATGATACGATAAATAATAAATTATCCTACCAGTGGCTGAGTGAATAAAAACACAGCCAGACACCATTGGGTTTTCTCTTGACCAACCCACGACCAATCACGTGGGTCCAGTTTTCCATAAAAAGTTGTCAGAAAGCAACCCTCTCGTCAGATCGCCCATGTGTCGCGTTGGCGTGTTCAAAGGAACAATATAATACATCAATTTAAACAAGAAAAATATGTATTTTATTAGAATAAGACATTTTTATTATACCGAAAACGACAATTGTGATATACAAACTATAATTGTTTACAGTCCATTAATTAAAAAGTCCTTCAAGCAGTCGCGACATTAAATTCATACTGTCATAAACGGAAAGTAAAATTTCCACTAAGATGTCTCTATTTTGCTTGACTTCGTTCGTGTCCTCATTCGTCAAACTCATTGTGTAAGGAAAAGGCATCGACTCTTCAACTATTTTAATTTAAAAAAGTTCAAAACGACAATAAATTATATAATGTTATATAACTTATTCAGAATAAATTATTTAATGCTTAATTGCTATCTCTTATTTACATTTTAATTAGACTTAAATACAAGAAGTTATATAATAAAGACATTTGTATTACTTAAATATAAATGAATAAATTAAAAGCACAGGTATTCAATAATTACCTTCTGTATTCATGGAATCATTTTTGAAGAAATAGTCTCTTATGTTTCGCCATTCTTTGAAAATAGATCATAAAATAACAACAATTATATATTTTTGGATAAATTAAATAAATATAATTAATGTTATAAAAATTATTCGGCGTAGACAAAGATGCATCCTTCATTTTGCAACGATTATTTTAGGGAAAATTAGTGTCTTCTTAAGCAACTAACACAGGAAATTCTAATACAGAAGACGCATTAATACGTCTAATTGGTTAAGAAAAATGTACAAAATGCTTTAATGTTCTTGCATTAAAGAGAAAAATCAACAGCCGGAAGAAAGCAACTCGAGGATCCACTAAAAAAAAAAAAACAGAGGACCAATAGTATTTAAATATGATACACTGATCCTCGAGTGATTTGTTTCAAGTTGTTAATCGTTAGCTATAAAGAGAAGTGTCAACAGAGTAAAGGAAACACTCGGAAATTCAGTGGGCACAGCGAGGATCAACAGTATTTAGATTTTGATATATTGATCCTGACATTAAACAAAATATACTATTGACTAAACGCTAGTGTCATTAACTGCAATTTCCTAAGCATATTTTAATTTAAAATCATCATTTAATGGTAATTTTAAATATTAGGATGATATTTTAATACATGAATTTGAAGAAAAGTCTATGTTTTATAGCAGGAAATATGTACTTACTTTTCTTAGCTTCCTTTCGAATTTTATCAAGTTTCGATTCATATGAGTAATCGTGTGGTAAATTAGTGGTAGTTGCCCCATCGTGTTTATTGTTCAACTTCTCTAATTTTCCATTATATACGAGTTTGCCATAATTACTCCCTACTATTAAGTATAACACTGTTAAAACACAACTCATGTGCAACAAGGATCCGAGTAGCGTCATGTCAAACGAATTCCTCAGCGAGCAAACTTATGAAAACTCTTCAATGAATACAGAAAATTTCATAATTTTCAATATTTTTATAGGTTGAAATTTATTTAATTTAACTTTGCATACGAATTATTACGTTAGTAAACTGTTTTTTTTCTTATTATTTTCAATAAAATACATTAAATTCTATTTTTAATTCTGTATCTCATCCAATATTATGTTAGAGAAAATCGTGATATTTACTATATTTTTATTATATGAACGTTTTGTCCTGTTAAATAAAAGTCATAATGGAGTTTTACATAAGTTTCTAATATTAAAATTCATAATTTATGGATATCAAATTCAAAATATGTTTATATATAAAATTTTCTATGTTCTTTTCCAAGTTAATTTTGTATTTATTTCAATGATGATGTTGTTATCATACTTTTATATTAAAAAGTATTACAGATTAAGAAGTTAATAAATAACTCTTTTCTTTGCTGACAAGAAAATATTCATTATTTTGGCCAGTGCCGTAACTAGGCAGGTGCAACAGGTACACCCGCACAGGGCCCACTTGAAAGAGGGGCCCAAAATGCATGTATTTGTTTTATTAGTTTCCCAAACCTAATTAATCAAGGGGCCTAAATGCAAATTCCTGCACAGGGCACAGGAATGGCTAGTTACGGCACTAATTTTGGCAATAGCATAATCCTTCATTATTACTTAACCCTGTTTATATGACCAGTTGAAACGTTTTTGTTAAATATCCTATAAAACTTTTTATTATTTAATAAAAAGTTTTGTGTTTTATCTTTAAGTCTTTACTCCGCGTGAGCCACAAGACGGCTTTTTCTTACATATTCATTGAAGATTCGGCCAGGTCTACAATGGAAGAGGAATGGAAAGAACGATGCCTGACGTACGAAGAACACACCGTGCATAAAAAATTCCTGGAGGTTTGCTAGGGGGATGAGTTCGGGTCTGCAAAGTGCATATCATTTAGTTCTTAGGTTTGCTAAAAAGATTCTTTAAAGGAAAGAAAAACTGACTGTAAATGGAATTGGGATGATAAGATAATACAACTCAATCTCAGCTCGTGGGCAAACTACCACGGGGTGTGCCACTTGAAAGGACTGTCGATGGGTAATTGGATGCTATTTACATAAAGGACACGTGAAGAAAACCGGAAAAATTCCACGTGAAAACCCACGGAAATCTACCAGAAATTTTATATAAATTCAAAGATAAAAATGTAAATGTGAAATGAAAAGCAGAACGTTTCTTTGTTCTAATTGTAATTTGTATAATCAATATTTTAATTTTTTATAAATTTTCTCAGTTTTAAAATAATTAAAAATACAATTTAACAAACTCATTCTAATGAAGAAATTTTAGAAAACTGCATTAAAATTAACTAATTACCTTATATAGTTAATTAAGATATAACTACAAAAAAATCTATTAATTAATGTGTGGAAGGTTTCTATTATTCTCCAGCATGAAGTTTCAAAAAGACAAAATTACCATGACAATAAACTCCACTTTCTCCAAATTACGTACATTTTTCGGATAAACAGAAAAAGAAAAATATATAAAGATGCACTTTTTTCTAATAATATTTATATAAAACGAACAATTGTTTTATTGTATAGGCTCAAAACTTTCATTAATGGTAAGTAATGTTTATGTGCTGTAATAGATATTGTTTTACATACAATAATTAAATCATTTAAAAAGTTAATTAATTTAACAACACTATTAAATAATTACCTTTGGTGAGGTTCGTGCCATCTGTGATGTTAATCTTTCCTAATCCGTATTTATAAACATCGTACCATGCTGTTCAATACATTTTATATTTTATAAAATGGGTATTTGAGGGTAGAAAAAAATTCTAAAAGTTCGTTAATAAACTTACTCGTGCGATTAGGTTTTTTCTTGAATGTTGAATAATTCTGACTGACGTAAATGTCTTCATCGGGATCATCGTAATACATTGCGGATGAATAGTATTCACGCTTAATGCGTAAACTTTCAGAGTAATAAATTGCTAAACATAACACAAAAAGATAGAAATGTGTACGCACGAAGAGCGCCATTGGAACCACGTTTTGCAACACTGGAACGAACAGACTAGCAGACGGACAGCGAACCGATACTCACAATCTGAACGGTTACCAGCTTTTATAACGGTTTGTACTGCCAATTTTAATGTTAACGAGCTAAACGTAATTAAAATATATATAAATTTAAATTATTTCTAATTAAAAAGCAAACAGTATTTAAAATGTGATAAAAATTCATTGATATTTTTATATAATATAAAAAGTTTTAATATTAAGAAATTGATATATTGTAATTCAATTAGAATTTAAAATTTAATTTTAATAAAATTAAAAGAAAATTTAATATTGTACACGAAAATAATTCACGTATTTTGTTTATTTGATATGTAAATGAAGCATTGACAAACTTAAAAAGTTCTTACAGGGGGGAATGAAATTCTCAAAAGGCTTTCATTTTAATTTTCTTAGAATGAATATGTGATATTTATTAATTTGATACTGAAACCGATAAAATAAAAGTCGTGTCTTAGATTCGTTGGGCTCTGTTTCTCATCATCCGGCTGCCCTTATTTGGGCCATCTTCTTCTTAAATAATCTTTATTTCTTTTTCGACACCGCGAGGCACAATCGCGCAGTTGGACAAAATCCGAAAAAGCTGGCCAAAAGTCGAAAAATGGAGTTTAAGTTCCGGTAATTTCTAGTCGTGGGTTCGGTTGGATAAGAGTCCGAAGGTCAAATTCTAGACTTTAGCTTCCCCTATCCCTTATACCTGCTATTGTAATTTAGTTAAAAGGAGACCCTCAATCGAGCTAGACGTGTCATGCAGTAAGCAAAGATTTCTACGCTATATTCAAGAGGGTGCCAAATCTCTAAAAATCAATCGAATTTAAATTTAAAAAATGAAATTTGCAGCTGCAAGTAAGTAGAATATTATTATGTAACACAAAATTGATAATAATACTTTATGTGATAACAGTAAACGAATGATTTGTACGAAAATGAACAGAAAATTACAACAGAAAATTTTAAACATGTAGAGAAAAGTTCATAAATTCTGTAGAGTTCTGCGACTGGACCGATCGCATGTTGTAGATGGAACTATTATTGAATGAAAAAACTTAAAACTAGCTGCAACTAGCTGCAACTGTGTCATTGGCGCGAGTTCTTGCAATGTAAAACAGTTTTCTGAATTTTGTACATTAATGACATGGAATGTGTTGCTCTTTTTCTTGAATTTGTCTTGTGTTTTGAATATTGTCTGCATGTAGCATATAAGCTTGAAATCAAACTGTGGCAAGCGCATAGTGATAAAGAAAATAAAGAATTAAGACTCTGAAAAACGAATATATAGAAGGGTTTCCGTATAGAATTAGTTCTATTAGTAAATCAACCAAAGCCTGGTTTCGGTAGCTCGAATAATGAGAATACCGCTCGACGATTTTTCGAAAACTCAAGCATTTCTGCTGCTATTACAGGGGTTGATGAGGACTCGATTAAGCGTTTCCGTGTCATATTGCAGACAATTTCGTGTGGCCATGAAATCGATTTCATAGAATTTCAAGATTATGCCTTACAGACAGAACGTTACTTTGTGCAGCTATATCCGTGGTTCTGCATACAAACTTCGGTACATAAGATATTGATTCATGGTGCAGAAGTGATAAATTCATCAGTATTGCCGATAGGGCAGATGTCTGAAGACGCTCAAGAGTCTACTAATAAATACATTAAAAAGTTTCGAAGAGATTTTGCAAGAAAAGCTCCCGAGTGAAAACAATGAAAGACATTATTTTACGCCTATTATTAATATCCGATCCGTTTATTTCGAGTTTGTGCGAATTACCTCGAAAAAACTCAAAGTCGTTGCTTCCAAAAGCAGTTTTATTGTTAGTTGCGCCACGTATACCAGCAAGTAGAGAAAGCTCCAGCGATTTCAAAGTTCAATCATCTGATTGTGAATCAAATTATTCTTTGAATGACGATGCATGAAGTTTTAATCAACCAATTGTATGTTTTATTGTATTAAACAACATATAGATTTAATTTGTACTTTTTCTATAAAAGTGGTTCGTGTTAAATTCGTCATTTTGTTTTTATTTCAAATTTTGACTTCGGATTCGTAATCAGCGATCCCGAAAACCCTTGAATACTGACTTTCAGCCAAATTGATAACACTTTTGACTTTTGGCCAGCTTTTTGGGATTTGGCCCCACTGTGAGTCGGGTAAATTACAGAGTGGCCTTTTGGCTTATAGATGGCAAGATTCCGAAATTAAGATAGAAACAAGTCAGGTATAATGCCACGTTCTTGTGGCAAACAAACGACTTACAGAACCTGGGTCCTGAACCATGTTAAGTCATGAATTAACAGGTAGAGCAAATTTGGCAGTTGGAACATCGCACGTGAACAGAAGGACAGAAAACACAAAACAATCACCAAACGCACATTACAACATTGTGGTAATAAAGAGGCTCAGTTCACATGGCCAATTCACATTTAGAGCATGCAAATTAAGTCTTACAAGTTGCCTTATGTCATGAATCATTGGGCAGGCATAGATATAGTGCCTTACTCCGTTCTCTTCCCCACAATAACTGCACAGCTTTGAACTTGACTTATGGAATTGACAGAGATACGTGTTAAACTGACCGTGTCCCGTGAGAAACTGAGTCACCTGAAAGTTTAGACTAAACCACCGACTGTGGAGATGTCGCTCGATGCTTGGAAGAAAGCTCCTGCAGACGTGATCCGGGGGAATAGATTTCCACTCGTGCTGCCAAATCTCAAACATTTCCTTGCGATGGAGTAGATTAAGTCTCGAGGCTGGAAGAATACAGCAGTCAGGGAAGATGTCACGACAATCAGCGGCAGCACGCGCCAGCCAGTCAGCTCTTTCGTTCCCTGGAGTTCTACAGTGTCCTCTGGTCCACTCACTAGAAAAATTGTTGGAACTAGTTGAGATGATGTTGGGAATGTCCCCACACAATGGATGAATACTGTCCTTATTTTTCAGGGCATA